ACTAATACAAAGTTGTAACTCTTTTAAAGAGGACACGCCTATCTTGATATGAAAACAAACCAGTCAACTGAAACTATTTTACTCTGACCATACAACACGTATCTTCTTTTGTGTTCATTAAATCTTTAAAATACTGTATGCATGGGTGCTAGAATGGATCGTACATAAGGTCACTAGCTGACCAAATGCTGGATTAAGTATGCAGAACACGATCTCCGTGAACTTCCTAAGTGTCTTAAACTACTATCTTTTTTGACCCTTAGACAAAGTTTGGACAAAAAATTTTACTTGTTTGATCCATATAACTTCCTATATTCAGCAGGCATTGGTGGCAGGTAGTGTGAAACATAGTCAAGAAGTTTTCCACGACGGTAGAAGTTAATGCCCTTAATAATGGTAATTAAATCAAAATCATCTTTCTGCATGCAAAGAACAAAAGATGATGCTTATGAAGCTAAACTGCATCATATTTTTTATGCGCGGGATTAGTAGGATATACAGCCTCACGAGTATGATTCTGCAGTGACATTATTCATCTAACAGAGAAACATCGGTTATAAAAGTAGTATGCGGTTGTGTGGATCATATACTCATTTATTAGAGTTGATAGCCATGGTTATTAATTGAAAAGAAAGTATTCATATTTTTTTACCCAGAGTTTAGTGATAAATAATAAAGAATATCTCAAAACAATTTTGGATGTCTTAAGTGTATATATAAACGATGATCCCCAGTGAGTAGAGTAAAGCTAGTATTAACAGATTTACTAGTCAGCAGAATGGACTCGACATGATTATCTCATAATGTATTGCAGATACCTATCCGAAATATCAATCGCAAAAGTAAGTTTAATATTAATGGCTCTGCAAAATTTCTCCAAAGAAGAACACAATATTCGGATTGGAGATAGCGATAGTTCAAAAGTCAAATATTCAACTAGGAAGAAGAGCACTCAAGACTAGCAGCAGGTTTCTAAATTGTTCTTATTCTTGACATTTTCACTTGATAAGGCAAACCAAGCTAGAAAGGATCGTGGCGATACTAAAACTTGTTGGGTGATTTTTTTTTTCCCATTCTATTGAAATCGCTGAACACATGATATAGTAGTTCATGCGTAATTCTAGCCTCTGGAAAGAGCGAAACCTACCAAGAAAAGGAAATCACCACAGTCATCAAACTTACAGAGATCACTTCTCTGCACTGCATCGTGTCGTCTAGCATTTCTACTTGACTTGGCAATAGCTGATTCTTCCCACTAGAATTACAAATCCCTATAAAAGTTAGTCTACATTTGCCTCACAAAAATACATGATGATCGCAACTTTAAAGAAGAAGTTTGTATATGTCATAAATAAAGGTTGAAGAAAGTGGACAAAAAGAAACACCGAAGAAGTTTAACAGAAACCAAGCACCCAATAAGCAGATAGATCACCCGACACCAAGGAAAAAAAGAAAGGAGATGTGACCATCATGCTGCTCACAAAATCAAGTTGGTTTGGGCAAAGAACCAAAGAAATGAAGGATTACAATGACCACAAATCCGCAGTAGCAATGGGCACTAGCCAGTGTTATATAGATTTTACTAAATGACTCTATGCAGTTAAATTAAGATAATAATTTAACCCTTAGTTGGAGGAAAACTAATCGAAGTTCTTCCAAATGAGGTTGTAGCCTTCGACTTGGTCAAACATAGTGGTACAATATCCAGTGCGCTAGTAGTTGCACTGCATTGCCTCTTTTTTACTATCTAATATCTGAACTCAAGAAAATGAGTTATGTTTTGATATGTTGATGGGCTCATCCATATATCTTAAAAACTCTAATTACCCGCTTTTTTAATTTGGCATTTCTGGCCCAAGTAAATCCCCCTTCAATGCAAATATATTTAAGCTGCTCATCGGAAGATGCTTACTTGATTAACTTGATTATACATTCATGCTAGAAATTTTTCATATTAATCTCACAAACATGTGAGAGAATCCATTTGGTTTGCTTTACTAAAGGGCTTACGAAACTTAACGTATTAGCAACCTAGTAGTTCAAAAGAGATTCAATGACGGTCAACAAAAGGATAACAAGTTGATCCTCATTTGCCTCTGCTATAATATATCAATGTGTTAGCATCGTGTTTCCTCTTTACTATTTAGGAATGTGTGAGATAGCAATAACATTGGCTGGGATATCTGCTTGCCAAAATCTACCTAACCAAACTCCAATCTCCAAACATCTAATTGTATGAGATTTGATTGAATAAAATAAGGACCTTGTAAGAAGTACATTCCGTGCCTTGGCAGCATGAATATATGAATTTGTATATGCCGAAGCCAATTTAAGCATCCGAAACTTCCACAGAAGTGTTTCTTTCGGAAGAATATAAGCAAGAACATGCAAATTTTTCCATAATTTTTTTTTCAAGCAAAAAATTATAGACATAGCGCAAGTTCTTGTTCATGTCCAAAGAAAATGTGATTGGTAAGAGTTCTACCCATCGAGGAAAATAAATTGCAAAAAAGTTTGCTAGTCTCACGAAGATGATGGCGATGGTTTAGCTTACTGATATGTAAGATGGCGTAGTCAATATGTTCTTTGATAGCTCTCCAATCGTTTGCTGTGGAGGAAGCCCTATTTTCTGTGCTAGCCTTGAATGTCCTCGAAGGATCACCTTATATCTGCCAGAAATGAACTAGAATAAGTGGAGAAAATTACAGCATGGCTGCAGCCGGATATATATGGTACTAACTACTGAGTGTGCCCAAACTATAGCCACGCTTCAGAAGCACTTCAGTAATAGCACCACCCCAACACATATACACAGCAGCCCATTCCCCCTTTTCACCATCAGCAAGCAATAAGGTATTCCTAAAAATGGGCAACCATCATCTAAAACTATGAAACAGATGTTATGGGGGTCGCCTGTAATTGTAGCACCACAAATTAATGTAGGTTGTAAAAGAAAAACAGTTAGGAGAGAGAGAAGCTGGATAGAAAGGTTCGCTAAATACGCAATTGTGGTACCCATGACATTAACGGGCAATCATGCCTAGGCTATCCTCAGTAATTCAGTAGGCTATCCTCAACTGTAGATTTCTATATTATCAGCGTCCACAAATCAGTAGCCTGGTATACTATAAAGAAGTGAGAAAATAAACCTGAAACAATTTCTACTTTACATGGAAAAGTGTAGCAAAATACAAATAATAAGGAGCAACGCAAACCTGCCATCAAACTCAGGTTGAAAGGATAGCTTAGCTGCAACAGTATCGGCATGAACTCTAGCAAAGGTAATAGATGTCGTATTCGCGACTTGTCAAAGGAAGTGGCTGCAAAAAAATATGCGTGGTGTTCAGTAATTAATAGGCAAAGCTGCCACAACCGACAGAGGTTCTAAATGAACATAAGCGTTAATCCGACATAATTCAACGAGGACACTGCATAACTCCCATAGAGCATTTCATTTACCACAAGAAAAGGCTGCATATGCATAAGATTCTTGTCTCCTTTGTTTTTCCAGAGAATATGAATTGGAAAGCCGATCATTTCAGAGTGGATATAATAACTCGATTCCCTTGTCCTGCTGCATTTATATAACTTCACTAGAAAGTGTTTCTCACCTGGGTTGGCCAAGATTAAGAGAAGATCGATGTCAGGGTTGCGTGCTGCGACAGCTAATGCAAGGCATCCTCCCGATGATTCTCCAACAAGATGCGTAGAGGTCTATTTGGGCAGCGGTAGGTCTCCGCTTTTATTGTTCTCTGGACCATTTTCATCAGGTCTGAGCCTTGCAAAATGATTAGGAGTTATCAACTCGTATGGAATTAAGATGAGAGGACTCAAAGCATCTGTTGTAACCTGGCTTTGTTGTATTACAACTCCAGGATAACAAGATATGCTTTTACTACGTAATGGAGCTAGAAAGAATCACAATTAAATTGTTGATTACAAATCACTTTGTCTTCAGATTGTTACCATATATTCAAAATTGGTGAAGCAGTTGGAGAGAGTGAGAAAGAGGAGGACCTAGAAAATACGTTCTATCCATGGCTGGGATGTGCAAGCACCAAATGTCGAACATCCTTCACACATGAAAACATTCATCCAGTTAGACATTTACTGCTGCATTAAATAGTGAAGTGCGCAAGCTATTGCATGAAACAGATTGTATAGTCATTAATAGCCCCAGTAGCCCGCAGAGGACAAGCATGGTAACACAGGAACTGTGACTCATCTCACTTCATCTAAGTTCAGGAGAGAGAGGAAAGAGCCTTTAACCTAATGCAAAGTGCAGCAATCACCACATCTCTCACAGTGAACAGGGAGTGAACGAATTTCATCAGATTTGTTATGAATGAGAAAAGAAAATTGATTTGTGAAGTACTCTGCCTATATTTGGCATACTTATATTCTAAGATTTCAAACTGTGCAACCCGATAACTGATCTTAGCTGGAAGGGGATTGAGGTCGTATGTTCATAAACAAGCTAGCTGCCCTATGTTGCGAGGCACTGCTATTGTTTCTCCCCCTCTTTCGTTTCCTTATTAAGCTCAGGTGGGTGCCCAAAACCAGAGTGCTCGGAAGTATAGTGTAGAGACGATTGATGCATTTCGGCAATAAGCAGAATTAGATGCCGAAATTTCAGTGCTAAACTGGAAGATTGAATAATCGAGGAAGAGTAGGCATGCTTACTTTCCGAGCTGTTTGTGCTGCAAAGTAAGCCCGGCTCCATTGCCATCAATTCCCAGGAAACAACATATCGGGAAACAGAAAGCACTGAAACTCCCATCAAGATCGAATAAATTTCACAGAAACATGACGAATTCAGAAGAAAACCAAACAGCTTATGATTAGATTAAACCCACGTAACAGCGGAAAAGGCTACAACATCAAGCTGCTCATCAACAGATATCTAGAGATGATCACGGTCGAAATCACAAAAGCGTCATTGTGTAAGTCCTGTTTAATTCTCAGAGTCAGATCACTTCAACGATGAACCACCGATGGCAACAAAATCGTCATTGTGAAATGACATGCTCCAAGACACATGATAGATCAATACAGAGAGGAGAAGCTGCTATTACAGCAAAAGCCTGCAAGGAAAACACTGGATTTGGACCCACCTCTACATAAACACACTGAAAGCACAAAGATAGTAGGGGAGTTAGGCATGTCTAAAGAGGAGTTGAGACACTGCATTCATCAATGTAAGATCAAAACCTTTGTCCTACCAACTGATCATAATGTATTCTTTCATTCAAACAAACATGTAACCAGTTATGAGCCCAATCACAACCTTACGATTCTAAACAAAATCCTAAGACTTCCCATCCATATCAGATACCATCATAATCATAAAAAGTATAGAGAGCTCATCAGATAAAGTGAAGTAGGATTGAAAAATAGAATTAGTCTTTGCAAGAGGCTCAATCTAAAATGGTATCATCATGTACAAGTTCAATATCAGTCAATCTAAGTGGTATTCTCCTAATTAGTGGGTGACAGATTCAGCAGGATAGAGATAAACCTTCACAGCCGTAAGGCGTGTGATCTCGTTTCCCATCCGATCGACAAGTACAGGAAGGCAAGCAGGTAATTGATGTCCAAGATTATCGCCGAATGTTGATACAACAAGTCCCATACAAGATATGGCACACTCCTTCACTTCCTGAACAAAGGGTAAACATAAGAAATAGCAACAGTAGCAGAGAAACATTTCATGAGAACAAGAATGAACCTGATCTTGATCTTGGTTTGTCAAGCGTGACATAATGACATCATAGATAGGATGAACATATGGCTTGAAGTCGAAACCATGCACCTGTGTGTGAAAACTACTCACAGTCAGATTGTTTCACCAAGAAATCTTAAATCATAAGATGAGTGCAACCCACCTCAATATTTGGGCAGACAACACAAACAAGCTCCCCACAAACTCGTAATGCTTCTGCTGTGACTTTGTAATATCTCTCGCCAACAGCGGATAAAACAGGGGAGGAAAGAGCCTAAAACATCATATAAAACAGAGGAAGTAAATAACACCAGCTGCAGCTGATATCGTATAAACCCTACTCTGAAGGAAGCAGAATCTCTGCTACTCTCACATACAAGACAAATACGGCAGGCAGCATAAAGAGTTTGCACGAATTTCTTCCTAAAAAATTGCATATCTTTTAATCAGATGAAATCCCATCAGAGGATGCCAAAATGCACATCCAAAGTTAACAATACAACAAAAACTATGCTCAAGGAGCAAGAAGTTGAAAACAGACATTAATCCACAAACAGTCTTGAGAATAGTGAACGCTACATGAGCAGCTAATGTGTTCATGGTTAACATATCACAGCAAAAGATACAGTCACTCATGTCCTAAAAGGTACTTTCATCTTATAATGCAAGAGCCGTCAGACTGATAAGGACAACAAAGCATACGCATTCAAAAAAACAAAGCCCTTTGCACCTAACAATCTCATTGGTAATTCCTAATTTTGCAAACAACAGCAAAGGTAGAAATTATACCTTTATGTAAGGATGGAAAACAGAGGGCGAATGTGAAGTCAACACTAATCTTGTAAAGATCAAAGCCTCAGTTTTCAAATTTGATGTAGATGACTTGTCCTGGTCAAATAACAACATGACAATTAGAAGCCAGAGAAATAACCGGTAAATCATTTACGTCATGGAGTCAAAGATCTATAACGAAACATTAGGAAAATGACAATGTACATACACTTAGTGCCTTTTCAATTCCAGGAATAAGTGATCCAATGTGGTCAGCAAGACAATCTGGCAATACAACCACAAGTTCTTTCAAGACAGCAAAAGCACCAACCTGCAACAATTGCATATATTAAAATTTACTAGGAAGGAAAAATATCTAAAGAGACTGGAGGAATGCACCACCTTTGTTTTGATTGATTTCTCACGCAGCTGTCTGTTAATAGATCTGACAATTTTTGCTACTTCTTGTTTCAACAACCATCTTGGACTGCATTACACACCCAAACCATTAGCACCATAATTTATCGACCAAAACCATTTTTAATAGTTTAGAATCTCAAATAAACATGAAAATGCAACAAGGTATCCTAACAACTCAACAGTAATTCCTGAACCTCTAGGACACAAATATTGATCACTGACAAAAATAAAAATCTAGAAAACCATGTAAATTTAAGTATTGGAAACTCATTTTCAAAGCTTCCATAGCAGAAAGCCAATAAATAACCAGGTAATGCAATAGGACTTGCTAACCAATCAGCCAGGAAGTTTCTATCTCAAAAGCTCTTCCATCAGGGTAAAGCATCCATTCATGTTGAATTGTTTCAGGTTAAATACATCAAAGATAAAAAGAGAGCACACAGGGCGTCCTTTCTTTTGTAACAATGATGCTCAATAAATTTTCATCACACCTAGGAGCATCATGCATGAGAATTTAGTAGAAGACATTGCCTCTGCAACCATCCACATTTATAATGAACAATCCAAATTAAGGATCCTTTTTGATTTGGAACCACGAAATGGATGGAAAACTGTTCCAGAAGGTAACAAGGTATTTTGTCTTCCTCTCAAAATAAAGGATACTGATCCAAAGAAAGCATGAAATTTTAAATAGTTATATATCAATGTGATTCCAAGTTTCCTACTAAGTGTGTTGAAGCATCCTACCGCACCATACCAGATTTCAGACAACTAAAGTTCCATATCCCTTTTCCTTACATACACTGAGAATCCACATTTGATCTATTACTCTTCTTAAGAAAAACAGTAGCTACAAATATGAGCAAAAGAAATGAATCTAAAACTATTCAATTTCTGCAGATGCACACTCGAGAAAAATAAGAAGGCCATTGCATGTTGCCTGTATTCTTCCAATATAGAAAGAAATATTGGTGGTGGATGATGATGTGTTTTCTCACGTTATGTTACTCTATCGCGCTAGATAATTAACTCCTAAAAGGAATATAATCTCTTTCACATCATGAAATTTTGTTTTTCCTCTTAGCCAAATGTGATATAACCAACTTCTATCAATACCTTAAGTAACTCGAAGACAAACCTTTCATGATAAAAAATTAAACAGGCTAACCTCCCTCGTTGGTTTCCGAAACTTCAATTCCATGATAATATGAGAAAAAATAGACTACAAATACAAAAGAATGTAAACTTACCTCGATTCGTCAATGTCTATCTGCCCTTTTGTCACATTGCCAGTTTGCCTAAGTAACTCAATGAAGGCATTAAATACATCCATCTGCATTGTAGAAGTATTAGAAACTGAACAGCTTATGGTTCTCACAACGGAAGCACTTCATGGAAACTCACTCACTTTAACATTTTCTTCCCTTTCCTTAAACCGATCAATCAACTTAGGACAAGCCTGCACCAGAATATCATTAATTAATCATTTATTTCCTTTTTGAACAAGAAATATCCACAGGAAAATAAAAAAAATTAGAGTCCTAAAGCAATCAAATGCAACATAGACAGCTGCCTAACAAACAGGAAAGTAATAAAGAAGGGCAATCAGAGTAGATCCTAATGGAGATGCACATGGTACACTTCTACATGATCAGATGCAACTCTTGTTCACACAAACCTCTACATAAAGCTTTGAGAGCATTTCTGGGCGAGAAACAATTAATGCTGCCAAGCATGTAGCTGCAGCTCTTCTAACTTTCCAGCTGGCATCCTCATCATCTGTATACTCATTTGCGCTATCACTGTAACAGAATGCAGTTCTCAAGTCACTATGAAGTATCCATCTAAAAAAATTGTATTAGCTCCTTCTTAGCAAAATTAACGTACTCGTCTTCCTCTTCCTCAAAATTTTCCTCATCAGTATCTTCCTCCATGGTATCCGTAAAATTCGGGTCATAGCTAAGATACTCCAACGTAAGACTGAGGATTTGATCACAATATGAAGAAATATCTCGGGGGCACCTCAACAGAAAGCTTTCTAGTGCCTGGAAAACGAGATTGAACCCAGTGCAGAAATGAGTACAAAATGCCAACAACTCCGGCCAAATAAAGTGGCAACAATCTATATACAGAGTCAGCTGACATCCGAGTCAGATAAAGGACACAAAAATAGAGCAATTAACAAGAGAATACCCATCTACCTGGAGGCTGTATTCACGGAGCTCTTCATCATTCTCTGAGGCATTGGTGCAATAACTGATTAGCACTGGAACAGTTTCTCCAAGATGTGGTCCAAATCGGTAGCCAACGGCACGGCTAGATTGCAACATTTTCATATATTAGTATCCACCAAAAGCGGATTGGCAGCAGCATAAGCAATCAGTTGATCGATTTCAATTTAAGCCTAAGATATTGAGGGTGCCTTTGTATCATACGCGTTAATTTTCCCATTTGCGGACGAAGCAAATGTTCGTCTCCTCTCCGCTCGCACATTTGCCATTTCGAAGGAGCAAGCGTCCTCTGCGACTGCGACTGCGACTGCCTTTGCCTTTCCTTTGTCGAGACCCGTTAGTTTCGTGGAGAACGGGAGGAGGAGACACGAGAGATATCGAGCAAAAGCGAGCGACCAGAGCTCTTCCCCGCGGTTCATGGAGGACGTGGAGCTGGAGAGCGGACCCCAGCGGTTGATGGGGGTTCTTCGATGAGGTGAAGGATCTCACCAGAACGGACGGCGGACCGCCTCGCTGGTTCTGATTCTGACTGGAGCCTTCGCTCCGGCGAAGGAGAGCCGGAGAGGAGACGAACGAGGAGAGACAAGCTCCGGTTGCCGCCATGGACTTGCAGAGCGAACCAGAGAGCACTAACCGAATGTTGCTGTGGAAAGAGAAACTTCACAAGGGGGTGTGGGAGGGAGAGAGACGGAGAGAGAAGAGGAGAGAGTGTCCTTGCTCGACGTACGTTGCCGTGGTTGTTGCGAATAGGACAAAATTTTTATTTCCTTCTTTTTGTCAGAGAATAGGACAAAATGTAACACGAAAAGACGAGGCAACTTGAGTTTAGCTGAATCAAAGTTAATTTACAAAACTAGTTCATTAATTAGTGTGCTAAATTACCGTTCCCGGATCAACGCACAATTGTGAGGTCTTCAAAATCAAATTATATAATTAATAAGCGTCTCGGAGATACTCCTTCACTAGCACGACTCGTTTCATATAAAAAATAAAATAAAAAAAAAAAAGAAAGCAAAATCGAAAAAAAAAACGTGTAATAACATTTCAAATATTCATTTGCAGTTCGGACAATCTCTTTGCAGCAAGTCTTCCATGTCTAGTGGTATTTGGTAAGGAATTCTTGTATTATTTCCAACATTTCGTGATGAACTAACTATTCATTGGAGAGAAAATTACCCGATCAGTCATAAATCTACTCTATGGATGTCAGTTCGATCCTAAACTTTTCGATTTTATCAAGTTAGTCATAAACCTTTTCGCGAAATTTCAATGTAGCCCTTCCTATCAAGTTTCGCCGAAAATAGCTGACGTGGCGGCCCAATCATCGTCCACCGTTCTACATGACCCGCCGTCGCTTCAGCGACCTCCTTTGAGGGAACTCACCAGGTAGATGAAGAAGCAAGGCGACTTCTCCAAGCGAGTGCCGCACTCCAGAGGAGAGAACCAGCAAGGCGGTCCGCTCGTTTTTGCTCCCGTTCTCTACAAAAGCAACCAGTCTCGACAGAGGAAAAGACAGTCGCAGATGCTGCGGAGGACACCAGCCCCTTCGACATATGACGAATCCGCTCATCGGCAACGGAGCGCCGGAGAGAAGACGAGTTTGAGCCGCTTTGATAAATTTTCATATTTATCGTGAAGATATATATATATTTTCTGTTGGAGAAAATATTCAAAATTGCCCAACAAATCAAAATCATTCTGATGGCACGTACGGTGAAGGACGTCTTCAACAGAAAAGGAAAACTGGTGGGCCCAGGTCAAAGTTCTTTTGTTGACTCATGGAATTAAATAAAATTAAAAGGAGAAACAAGGGGCACGCATACAAAAGGCGTTGATATCTTCTGCGAGGGTTCCGAGCCGCACATGCACGAAGCCGCACAGTACCGAAGACGAGCCGCTCGAAGAAGAAAAGGAAAGAACGTCGCGAGGCACGTTCTGGTTCCAAGCCGTGCGTGAGCGTTTTGCTTTGAACTTGAACACGCGGTGATCTGTGCAATGCATTTATTTGTCCAATTGAATTATTTATTCGTAAACACTTTGAGTTTAGGCTAAAATCTAGGTGTGAGAAATACTCGAGCGTATGAGCGATTTGTAACTTTGATTCTTCGATTATGGTAGATTATTTATTACCTGCTCTCTCCCGTGGATATAGATACATATATTCGGATCGAACCACGTAAATTTCTAGTGTCATTTATCGTTCATCGTTTATTTCTCGGTATTTTCGCATTGACTTAATTTGCAAGATCGTCGTTCCTCGTTAGAGGGGCCCCACCCTTCCTCCCTAACAGCCACCCGAGGCCCGACACGTGTCGAGCGCCTCGGTCTGAACCGCCTACCTTACCCGTCACTCATCTCATGCAATTTGTGTGACATTATTGAACAAACTGTTTAGCGTGGGGATAGCGTTTGTTTCCTGTAAGTAATGGCTTTGTAGCCTTGGGTAAGTGTATATGGTTCAAAGGTTTCCTCCTACAGCAATTTAGGGTGAAAATAATTCGTCATGCTAATCGCGATTCTTAATTTATTGATCCAACTAAAGCTTCGGGTGGCACGGTAAATTGTCCGTCCCCTTATGTTTTTCGATGTTTGTTACTGATCACTTTTCGTTCTCCGTACATTTTTGGACGAATCAAAATCACCACTTTTGGACAGTCAAAGTTGCCACTTTTACCTGTCTCGTCTATGCTTGCCTATATATATATGGTACGATGGGCAGTACACTGTAATTCAAGGCCAGTTGCTCGTTAAACTTGTTCTTCTCCTCCTCTTTTCTCTTCAAAACTTTCTTTAATAAATTTGTCTTTATCACCAACTCTCGAACGTCATCACCCTCCTTAACCTTTTCTTATTAGGAGAGGCGTAAACAATCTCAACAGATTCAGATTCACAGCACCGTACAGAGGTCGGAGGCCCGACCATATGATGTTACCATCAAAATAAAGGGAAAATTTTAGGATTACCGTTATAGATGAACAACTTCTTCGTGTAACATTCAGATATTTCGCATGAAGTGATTCAAAAGGTACGAATACTTCAAAATAAATAGGGTTAATAACACGAAAAACCCTAAACCGGTATATCTGTAACAATTTTACCACGAACTAATTTTTTGACCACAAAAAACCCCAAACTGGTACACCTGTGACAAATTTACCTCAAACTAATATTTTGACCAGTAAAAACCCTAAATTGGTACATTTGTGATAAATTTACCCTCCATTAGTTTCCGTTAAATTGAATTAATACCACAAAAAATCACAAATTGGTACATCTGTGACAAACGCAGGGTAAAATATAAAACCGGTACATCAATGAACTGTCACGTGTCATTTAACAAAATAATTTGACAGTAAAATTTAAAGGAAACAAACCGAGGGTAAATTTGTCACAAGTTTACCCATTTGGGGTTTTTGGTGATCAAAAAATTAGTTTGGGGTAAAATTATCACAGGTGTACTAGTTTGGGGTTTTTCGTGGTATTAACCCAAATAAATATATATAGGTGAAATGTTTCAACCAACACCGTAAAACTAGCCGAGGCAACGGTCACTAGCATCAAAAGATTAAAAACTGACACAAAGATTGATCCTCTCATCCGCACACACCAAGCAGTTAGGGCATGCATGAAATCCATTATGCTCCAAAAATCAAATTCTTGCCAGAAAATTTATTTCTGGAATTCTTGCTAGAAATTGATTTCTGGAGGAGAAATCTGTTTGACAAAACAAGACTAGTTCTGCTCCAGAAATTGATTTTTGGAAGAGAAATATGTTTGATAAAACAGAAGGAAATTTATGCTTTTGGAGGTGCCCAAAAATTTAAATTTCACTCAAAATGGGTAGTTACAGGTATTCTAAGTCATTCTGTGAAGTCTTAAATTTTTTTATTTTTGATTTTTTTGGGCACCACAAAAAATTTAAATTTCACTCAAAGTTGGTGGTCAAGGGTATTCTAAGCCATTGTGTGAAGTTTTGACATTTTTTGTTTTTTGATTTTTTTTGGGACACCTCAAAAAATTTAAATTTCACTAAAAGTGGGTGTACAGGTATTCTAAGCCATTCTGTGAAATTTTGAAATTTTTTATTTTGAAATTTTTTTTGGGCACTTCAAAAAATTTAAATTTCACTCAAAGTGGGTGGCCACATGTATTCTAAGCCATTCTGTGAAATTTTAAAATTTTTTATTTTTTAATTTTTTTTGGGCACCTTAAAAAATTTAAATATCACTCAAAGTGGATGGCCAAGGGTATTCTAAGCCATTCTATGAAGTTTTAAAATTTTTGATTTTTTAATTTTTTTTTTGGCACCTCAAAAAATTTAAATTTCTCTCAAAGTGGGTGGCTGCAGGTATTCTAAGCCTTTTTGTGAAGTTTTGAAATTTTTGATTTTTTTTGGGCACCTAAAAAATTTAAATTTCACTCAAAGTGGGTGGTCACAAGTATTTTAAGCCATTTTGTAAAAATTTTTAATTTTTAATTTTTAATTTTTTGGGCACCTCAAAAAATTTAAATTTCACTCAAAGTGGGTGGCCATAGGTATTCTAAGCCATTCTGTAAATTTTTTTATTTTTTATTTTTTGGGTACCTAAAAAAATTAAAATTTCACTCAAAGTGGGTAACCGCAAGTATTCTAAGCCATTCTGTGAAATTTTGAAAATTTTGATTTTTTGATTTTTTTTTTGGCATCTCAAAAAATTAAATTTCACTCAAAGTGGAAAGCAAAGTTTTCTAAGCCATTATTTAAAATTTTGAAATTTTGATTTTTTGATTTTTTGGACACCAAAAAATTTAAATTTCACTTAAAGTGGGTGGCACAAGTTATTCTAAGTCATTCTGTGAAATTTTGAAATTTTTGATTTTTTGATTTTTAGAAATTTTTATTTCTTGTAAAGAAGGAAATTTGGGCTAGAATGCATTATGTGAAGTTTTAAAATTTTTGATTTTTTGGGCACCATTAAAAATTTAAATTTCACTCAAAGTGGGTGGCCACGGGTATTCTAAGCCATTTTGTGAAGTTTTGAAATTTTTTATTTTTTGATTTTTTTTGGGGCACCTCAAAAAATTTAAATTTCACTCAAAGTAGGTGGCCACAGATATTCTACGTCATTCTGTGAAA